TCCCTATGGAACCCTTCCCAGCATTTGATGGAACTGTCCCCCTCTTGGGTGGCCCCTGACTATCTCACTGTAATTCTTATTTTATTGTTAAAAAATCAAGATTGTGATCAATTTATATATATATTATCTATATATAAAAGATATGTTAAAGAAGAGTTTTTGTCAAGATGGTGAAGTAAAGAAAGCCTGGACTAGAGATCAGTTTCAGGCCTTTAATCATGACACTATGGGGAGATTGAAGGGGAAACTCCCATCCTCTAATCTTGGGTGGTTCCACACCACCAACTCCATGCTAAAGAGACATGAATCTCCCCCCTTTTTAAATGCATCAGTTTTGTACAGATATTTTGTTTAAACTCTCTCAAGAAACGATTATTTCCTACTCTAGTGCCTTTGTTCCTTTTGTTACCAGGAAGTCCTTCTTTATATTTAATCTTCACCCTTCTGTTTCAGAAACTAAGAAAAACTCCATTTCCCTAACTTCACTAGAAATGAAGAATTAAGTGACATCTTTCTCTAATAACACAATTTGAAAACACTTATGGAATAAGTCCAAGACCTTTGATTATTCCAAGTTTGCTCAATTTTGACTCAGAAGTCTTACAGTTGGATCCTTATCTGTTCAACATCTGGAGGGTGGTGGTGCCTTCCCCTGGAGCCTACAATTCAACTGGGCTGTGACAGAATAATTTTCTATAAAACATAAGGACCTAACTCTGGAGCATACAGGGCCTGGCCTTGGACAAATACCCTTTTCTTGGTCCTAGGAGAAAGCACAAAAAAACATGCAAACTATAAAAGCTGTCAAGTTTCCAAAGAACAAGCTTCCAGTTCAAAGATAACATTGAAGGGCTGTTTTGACTGCATAGCACCTTGTTTGATTTCTTTGCCAGTGTTTCTCAGCCAGGGGACAGCCAACAGCCATCTTGCCTTCTTGACTCTCAGGAGCTGGTCTAATTGACATCTTGTCATATTCCTGGATAAGCTCACCCCACCTGTTTTTACAAAGTCACAAGCTTTCTTTTGGTTTGAAGTCCTTCCCATTCAAAGTTATTGTGTTCTGAAGTCAGGCCCAACTCTGTTAAGCAATTAATTGGACTCTCCTACCCTTGTCTCATGAAGCCCTAAGAAGGAGCTAACCCTTCTAGGTCTGAGATGCCAACTCTTGTGGGGAACAGACTATGAGAAGCCTCCATAAGCACAGTTGTGCTCAGTGACAGGCTGAGTTTGACACAGCCCCAGCCACAGAAGAGAGCGAGGCAGAATATAGCACAGCTGCTTTTCCTAAGCTGTTTACCTTCAGAGAAGTAGGACCTCAGGTTTCTCTTATTACAATGTCACGCCCCTCCCAAAGAACTGTTGCTCCACCTTCTTCTTTACCACTGGCTATTAAAGACTTGCTGAAGGAGGGCAGGGGTTTTTGATGGAAGGGGGTTGTTTTTAGTGGAGATTGATGGGTTTTTTGATTGGTAGGTTGCTTACTGAATGATGCAGCAGACTGCTGCTGCTGCTGGTGGGTTATGCTAGAAATTAAAGGGAACATGGGACAGTGCAAGTCTGCACTGAGAACTTTATACTTAGGCTTAAGAAAAGCTAAGCTAAAGAGAACATGGGACAGTGCTAGTCTGAGCACTGAGGCTTTAAGAGTTATGCTAATGCAGTTTTTAGATGCAGCTGCTGTTGTTTGCAAGTCTGAGCACCGAGGCTTTAAGAAAGCTAAAAAGAACGTGGGACAGTGCAAGTCTGAGGGCCAAGACTTTAAAGAGAGATTAAAGAAAACATGGGACAGAGCGAGTCTAAGAAAAGAGACTTTAAAGAACAGAAAAGAAGCAGGGTTTTAAAGACTTTAGAAGTAGGCCTTAAAGAAAAGAGAAGTTAAAAAAAGAGAATAACAGAGAAAAGAAGCAATGAGGTTGCTGTGCGTCTCCATCCGGACACCCAGCACACCTGGCCCTAGCTTTCTGCATGTCTGTCTTCTATCGTTCGTCCTTTCTGCATTTCCATTTGCCCCCATTTAGGTTCAGTAGTAACAGGAGCATGAAAAAGCTCGCTCCAAACTCTCTCACTTCTGGAACATACTATGAGACGCCTATGGTAATGTAACAATCATTTAACAAGAAAATCATCATAGCATGATTCAGAAACAATAGATTAATTCTCCCAAGGAAGGCAAGACATAGACTCTCGAAGCAATTAACTAACAGGGCAAGGCGTCTTGTGATCGAGAGACAAAATGATTGGCGCAGAGGAGAAGTAGGAATTGAAAGGGATGGAAAGAATAACATGACTTGGAGCATAGAGCCTCGAACAACACTTGGGAATGCAGCTTAGGGCATGAGGGGCCCTAAGAGCCACAGCTACTCCACCAACAGGGCAGATGCAGCCTATACTGGGCACGTGACTTGGTGCGTGAGGTCAATGATGCCCTCTTAGTCTCTTCAGGCACCAGCTACACCACCACAGCACTGGCTGCTCTAGCTTGGGGACTTTTGAGGAGGAGGGCAGATAAGGTGGGATCCTTGCTAACACTCATCATTTATTACATAAAGGGGCATTTATTCAATAGCAGTAGTCTCTGCTTCTAACTCCTACAGAGCTGCTAGGGGATTATTTCCCTGCTTTAGTATTTAATCTAGTTCCTCATCTCCATTTTATGGGTTGGTTGAAAGCAAAAGCAACACTCTCAGCCTGTTGTCGCTTTCTTTTAACTAAAAGGTCGCTGGTTACAACCGGAAGACCACATGCATTAAGATAAGGCCTCAACTGTTTTGTTTCTAAATGAACAAATAAGATAAAAGGTTTTGGGCTGCTATTTATAAGCACTTTTCAGCAAATAACACACCATGGGTATAAAAGGTCCATTCCCAGTAAATGAGAAGCTACATCAGATAGGCTATTATTATAGGGCCCACCTGAGCAGACTTGCACTTGACTTTGCAGTATATGTCCAGGGCTCTAGTTCCAGCCTAAGGGGGAGGGGGTACCTCTGAGCTAGTGTGGACCCCTTCCTCAGGGGAGTCCTCTGATTTCTGGGTTTAGATCAGCTTTGGACTTTTTTTTTTTCTTTTGAGATGCTAGGGATTGAACCCAGGCCTTGCACATGCTAGGCAAAGCACTCTAGCACTGAGCACAGCCTCAGCTTGTTTTATTTTTCTGCAGAGTGGAGGGCAGTCATTCAAAATGGCCCCTGGCCATCCATTCTTTGATCAGTTAAAGCATGCAAAGTAATTTCAACAGGGAACAGGCAAAAGTGAGGAGTGACGGATTAGCTAGATTCTCAGACAGCAGGGCAAATCTCAGATTAGCTACCAACATTCCAACCATCATAGTGTCACTGTAGATTCAAGAAGCAGCAGGAAATTGAGAATGAGTACCTTCCAGAGAGGAGTAAAGCAGTGTTTCTAACCAGTGACCCTGACAGGCTTGCCATGTCCCAGGGGCAGTCCATTCTTAAAAATACAATTAGTGTCTACTACATTTTTTAAAACTCTGTAAACGTGAACCAGTTTCTCAAATGCAGAGTGGAAGAATCAAATATCAAGCCGTGAAAGTAGTTTTTTTTCCTTATTATAACATGAATTTTAATGTGTTTTATTCTGCAAACCCCAAACGAAACACTACAGAAAATGTTTCTTTAAGATTTATTTATTGACTAATCATTCTTTTAAGTGCAATTAATTTAAGGTAAATGAAGGAGCACACATCATTTGTTGGACGTAAACAGTAGGAAATTTGCTTACGGTCATAGTAAAGTATTATAGTGAAATTATAGTGCAATTTTTTTTGGCAAGTACTGGAGTTTGAACTAAGGTCCTCACACTTGCTAGACGGGCACTCTACCACTTGAGCCACACCTCCAGCCCTTTTTTGATTTTAGTTATTTTTCAGGAAAGGTCTAGCGTTTTTGCCTGGAGCAAGCCTCAGATTGGAATCCTCCTACCTACACCTACCATGTAGCTGGAATAACAGGCATAAGCCACCATACCTGGCTCATTTGTCAAGATAGGATCTTGCTAACTTTTTAACCCCTGCTGGCCTTGAATTTCTAACTTCCCAATCTCTGCCTCCTATGAAGCTGGGATTACAGGCGTAAACCACCCCACCTGGCCTATAGTGCAATCCTTGATCATGTACTGAGTTTAAGGAAGTATTTGTATTTAAAATCATGTTATTATATACCTCGTGTAGCAGCATTTATTGTTCTTTTTTAGCTCTCCAGATGCTTTAAACACTCTATATCTGCAACTTTCCTATCTAGTGAGTCTACTTTTTGAAAACGGAAGTCAAATTTTCCCAGCTTCCCTTGAAGCAAAGGTGTGGGCACATGGCACAGAGTCCTCGAATCAGTGCCCCTCGTGTGATTTAAGTGTGGAAGATGGTGTCATGAAGATGGGCCCTGTGTGGAATCCACTCAGGTGAGATCACAGAGGCAGGCGAGAAATCTCAGGCTTGCAGGGGAAGTGGAGGTGGGGTGAACACAGTGTTGCCTGGGGTTACTCCTGCGTGCAGAGGCAGAGGGCTAGCAGCATTGATTCTAGACAATCAGCCTCTAAGCTCTGCATCCCAGTTCTCTCTCTTAGAGATTATGAAAATGACCTCATCCCCTTTAATGTAATACTAAAATATTTTTATGTGTGTATTCCCCAAACAAATTTAATGAAGCTGGTTTTCTAAAGTGTGAGTCATTACATACGGGATTACATTTTAGGAACATTTTGTTCTGCAAATGAAAATATTCTGCTGGTAAGAGTGTATTTCCTTGTGGAAATAAATAGCAAAAGGAGAAGAAGGTATTAAGCCAGTGGTACGGTGCTTACAAAAGATGCCGTAATTATTATTAAGTGCATTATTTACAGTTGAATTGACAATATGTCTCTGGGAAGTTAATCTCAATCTATTAAGTACATGGTATGAATGACTAAGCCAGCAGAGCAGTAGTGATGAAAAGGAGCAGGAGAGTATACACAAGTAAAACTTTCTCTTTCTCACTTTTTTTTTTTTGGCAGCATTGGGATTTGAACTCAGGATCTCATGCTTGCTAGGCAGGCACTCTTACCACTGAGCCACTCTGCCAGCAACTAAAACTGAATATGGTTTTATGACATCAATAATCTTTTGGCCCAAAGTAATGAAAATGGTTCTTCTACAAGTCTGAATGAGTGTTTAAGGGAATATAAGGCTGCTATTTACTTTCAATATCTCTTTTTAGCTTGAAACTACAATATTGATCTGTTGGAAGAAAATGTAGGACATCTCTTTGAAATAATGCAAGATACTCAACTGAGACATGAGTGAATGCAGGTAAAGTTTTATAGCATACAGAGAGTCTCTAACTTTTTTTTTTTTAAACCTGTACGGGGCATTGAACTCAGGGCCTTGCACTTGCTAGGCAGGAGCTCTGCCACTTGAGCCACTCTGCCACTCCTTTTTATATTGGTTATCTTTGAGATAGGGACTCCCTTTATGATCAGCCAGCCTAGAACATGATCCTCCTATTTGTGCTTTACTGCATAGCTGGGATGATAAGTGTACAACACTATATCCAGCCACTGACTGAGATAGGATCTCACAAACTTTTTGCCTGAGCTGGCCTCGAACTTCGATCCTCCTGATCTCCACCTACCCAGCGCTAGGATTACAGGCTTGAGCCACTGGACACATTGGAAATTCCAAGTATGGAATCTTGATTTCTAAGCATGAAACAGGGCCAAGAAAGCCTGATCTACAGAAGTGAAGACTGACTGTCCATGATGATAACTTTATTAGCTAGGATTTTCCAAAGAAACAGAACAAATAGGATAAGTATGTAAGTCTCAGAATACAAAAGTCAGAAAACTAAGAATTCTGAAGTCTGAGGCAGGAGAAGCTGGATGTCCCCACTCAAGAAGCAAAGGCAAATCTACCTTTCTTCCACTTTCCATTGGGCCCTCAGGAACTCGATGATATTCACCTACATTTCTGAGGGAGTTTTTTTTTTTAACTCAGTTTTACCAATTCAAATGCTAATCTCTTCCAGAAATACCCTTACAGACACACCTAAAATAATATTTCCCCAGCTATCTGGGCATCCCTTAGCCAAGTCAAGTTGACACAGAAAGTTAACCACTACAGGATCTTCACCATCTATGGGTAAAACCTGGCTTTCTGAATGTGGAAAGTTCCAAGCTATTACTTGACTGTCCATTTATAAAACTGTACCACCAGATATCAGACTTGCCCTCCATATCTAAAATTGCAATTTGCAAGGATAGATTCTGGCAACATAGGCATAGATCCTTGTAATCCATGTTTGGAATTAAAACTTCTGAGCAAAGGTTTTTAACAAAGCCTTAGGAGGTTGGAATCTGGAATTCTATACATAGAACTTGTGTGTTACTCATAAAAGTTGGCTTTCCTTGCTTGTAATTGTTATCTCAGGCATAGAATCTGAGACTCTATGTGTGGGGTATCAGTGACTAAGCATGGAGTATGACCTATGAGCATAAGACATGGCATTCTCTGTGTGGAATCTCAATATCCAATGTGGAACAGCCCTACAAGCATGTGCATCATGGAACATGGTCTTAAAACTTTGTAATCTGGCACTCTAGTCATGGAACCTGGCATTTTCATTATCAATGTTGGCTCTTCAAGATTAAAAAAATACTCTTTTATGCAAGGAATCTGGCACTCCATGTGTGGAATTTCAGTGTCCCAAAATTGGACCTGGTTGTGCTACATGCAATCTGGCATCCAATGGATGAAATCTCTAACTCCAAGCATGGAACATAGCTTTACATACATGTGACCTATCATCCCAGAAATGAAACCTGAAGTTTCAATTATAAAAGTTTGCCCTCTAAGACATGGACCTTGGCCCTAAATGCATGGACCTGGCACCCCATTTGTGGAATCTCATCTCAAATATGAAACATGGTCATAAAAATCTAGGACTCCATGATGATATACCTCAATTTCTAAGTATGGAATCTTTGGCACTCCATATATGGATCTCAGTAATTAATTATCTAACATTGCAGCATAGGCATGGACTCTGGCACTTTGTGGAATCTTAGTCTCCAAGCATAGAATCTGTATACCAAACACGGAACTTGGCCCTACAAGCATTCAACATGGCACCCCATGTGTGGAATCTCAACCACCCAGTATTAACATAGCATTATAAGTATGGAATCTGGTACTCCACACATAGAACCTGGGTTTTATTCATAAAAGTTGGCTGTGCAAGACATGGGACCAGGTTTCCTTGGCATGGAACCTGGCAGTACGTTAATGGAATCGTGAAAATGTGTGTGTGTGTGTGTGTGTGTGTGTGTGTGCGTGTGTGTGGTTTTTAATCCAGGGTTCCTGGTTTATAACTCCCTCCCAAAGGCAAGTTATAGAAACTTTAATCTTCCACTGCCTTGGAGCTAGCCATAAAAAAATTCTCCAACCTATCCTTGTTTTATAAATCATAAAACTTTCCTCATTCCAGAGAGGACCTGCTCCATACCATTGAGTAAGGAATGCTGCACTGAAGAGGGCCAAGAAGACTCTGAACAGATAGGCCTTCTGAGTTTCTTTCCTCAGTCTATTAGCATCAGATCAGACCCTTTCTGTTCAATCACATTTTGACATAGTTGCCCATGTGTCAATCATGCCTGTGCAACGAAGTCTTTATAAAAGCCCAAAATGACAGGGTTTGGGGAGCTCTGGATAGCTGAACGCATGGAAATTCCTAAAGAGTGGCAGCCCAAAGAGGGTATGAAAACTCCACACCCCTTCACCCATTATCACGCACTAGCATATTCACCTTCATCTGTAATATCTTTTATGTAAGTAAGTGTTTCTCTGAGTCCTTTCAGCCACTCAAGAAAATTCATCAAAAGCAAGGAGACAAGGAATTCTGACTCTCCAAATACAGAACATATCCTTACAGTTTGAGATCTGTTATTTAGACATGGAACTTGAATTTCAGTCATAGAAATTGGCTCTTTAAGAAAATATAACCTTGTCCTGCCAGCAGAGAACTTGAGATTCCATCCGTGAAATCTCAGTCTACAAGCTTGGAACCTGTCACATCATGTGTGGAAATCAATGTCCAGTCATGAAATACAACCTAACAAGTGTAGGGCTTGGCATTTGTGTCATAGAAGTTGGCTCTGCCTGCACTGAGCCTCATCTCCCAGGCATGGAACTTGGCACTTCATGGGTACCATTTCAATCTCCAGGCATCAGACTCCCCCAGGGAGCCTGTACTCCATTTATACAATATCGACTTTCAGACATTGATTTATTTCTCCTAGGTGTGAATTCTTTCTTTTCATGCATATAATATGGTCTTCCACAGAAAACCTGCCATAAAATCTTGCCTTTCCATGTATGGAAGCTGATTTTCCATACTTGGACAGTACCTTCTGATGCAAATCCAGGCATGGCTTCTCTAGTTGTGGAAAGTGAAATTTTATATGTAGACCTTGGCCCTGTAGGCATGGAAGTAGGTCTTCCAGATGTGACATGAGCATGAAATTTCTCTCTGCAACTTGGAAACTGGTTTTCTGGGGATGGGATTAGAACCTCATGGAATGTCAAGTAGCCCATGAGCAAGAAAACTCAGACTCAGGGTTAAATGAGTGTGCAAAGGTTAGTCAATTTTTTTTGATGGCTCTGGAGCTAGAATTCAAGTCTCCTAATTCCCAGCTAGTGCTCACGGCACTAGATTCTTGTTCTGCTTATTTTGCCTTTCCCCCTAGTGGAGTAATGAGGGGAAAGAGGCTTAGACAGAAGTCAGAACACTCAAACTCTGATGTCAGCTCTGCCACTCCTGTTCCATTTTGTCTGTGCCCTTGGAGAGATTGCTCAATCACAGTGAACTTCACCCCCCTCCACGTCCCCACCCCAATTCATGCAAAGAGGGAGTCACACAAGATGGCTGCCAATTCCAGCCTTGGTGTCTGTTCTTAACCTCTATTTTATGCTTCTCTCTGTTAAGGGCCTCTTTCACCTTGTCCTCAAGCTGTGAGATGTAAAATCAGTCTGGGGAAAATGAGCCATCTGAGCAAGGAGCAAACACAAACTAACTTTGATCCTACCTTGACCCTTCCTCCCTCCTGTGGTTTTCTCCATTATTTCAGCTGTTACCCAAGGAAGAGATTTTTTTATTTGGTTGAAGTTTCCCATTCAACTCAGAAAAATCAATATTATTTTTTAAAAGAACCTGACTTTGGAAGTTAGCCTTGCAGCTGCCTGGGGTGCCTCACGATCCTTCTATTCAGAAGCCTGTCCTTGTTCCTCATTTTAAAGGCTTGGTCTTCACTTCTTTTTGTTTGGGTAGGGTCTACTGCCCAGAGGACTCAGGTCTGATGGGCTGTGGGTCTAAACAGGTCCTGAAGATTAATCTAGCAGAAATGTGAGTCTATAGGGTATTTCCTGTCCTTTTGCCCAAGGGCAACCACTTCTGACTCCTTGTCCTTCATATATCTGAAAGATAACCTAGTGACTTTTTTTGATTTATCAATTTAGACATTATCTGTTTATTTCTTGCCAAGATAGGAGAATCTTTCACCCACTTACACATCCCAACTCTTTTCTTCTACCTTCCTGATATGGCATGAAGGATTTATGACCCTGAAATATTGTGACCCCATAGCTTCTAGGATGCTATGATAATATTTTTTTTTCCATTTTTCTTTTATTATTCATATGTGCATACAAGGCTTGGTTCATTTCTCCCCCCTGCCCCCACCCCCTCCCTTACCACCCACTCCACCCCTCCCCTCCCCCCCTCATAACCCAGCAGAAACTATTTTGCCCTTATCTCTAATTTTGTTGTAGAGAGAGTATAAGCAATAAACAGGAAGGAACAAGGGGTTTTGCTGGTTGGATAAGGATAGTCTATACAGGGCATTGACTCACATTGATTTCCTGTGCGTGGGTGTTACCTTTCTAGGTTAATTCTTTTTAATCTAACCTTTTCTCTAGTTCCTGGTCCCCTTTTCCTATTGGCCTCAGTTGCTTTAAAGGTATCTGCTTTAGTTTCTCTGCATTCAAGGGCAACAAATGCTAGCTAGTTTTTTAGGTGTCTACCTATCCTC